GATCAGTGACATAGAACACTTGTTTAGCTTGCGTGGCTATAATAAAAGGCTCATCTTTGTACCCCACCTTATTAAGATCCACTTGCAAAAATCCTGACTTATCCATTCGTATGCCACTATTATTTTCAACCCACTTGCATCCAAAGATAGGAATATGAAACTTTTCATAATCAAACACCCAAATGCGGTCGATAACCCCAAAATACGACAGATTCACATATTTAGGGTTTAAGTCCTTCACACTTGAAATGTGCACTGCTTCGGCAAATACAATGACACCACTATTTTGCATTGTACTCTTATCATCTTGTTCTTTGGTATAAAATGTGTATGCTTTAGTTGCGTATGCGCTATAAGAAAACACATGCAAACTTGGACCATATGCTAAATATCTTAACCTTTCTGTTATTGAAGCGGGATCAGAATAAAACTTTGAAAAAATATGATCCTTGAACCATGTTATAAAACTTTGATTGTGCTCACGTACTATCCAATTTTCATTTCGATTTAGATTTGAACCTCGGAGAACGTCCTTGTGCATTTCAACATACGGCTCAACCTCAATGTCATTGTGCAGAACATACAAATGCACTTGCTCCCGTTCATCCCTTGAAACTGTCACAACTTTAGAAGACATCCATTTTTATCCATACTAATTGAGTAGTCTAAACTAAACTAAGAAAGTTAAACAAAAACAGAGAATACTTGTAAAGAAATCACTAACTTCTAAGAAAACTACACAGTAGGATGCTTGAAACAATCACAACCTTGCTCTTCACAGGTAACCCCTATAATAGACAAAATTAATAACATCATCAACATTAAATAATTCTTGGAACATCAATTGTTGATAAAACTTATAATAATGTAACAACTTCTTATATAGTTGATAATTTCTTTTAATAAAGTCTTATAATATTAAAAGAAAAAGGTGGAACAACTAAGAAACTATAAAACGAGGAACAAAATAAAATACCATAAAACGGACTACTCATATGATCTAACCATTTTGATAGGTATAGAGTTTACTTATATTTATATTCATGTTGGCTACTCTCTTAAAAAATAGGAATTTCCAAACTATGAAAAAAATGCTCTATCAAGTTACATTAATATTTTTTAATTAATTATATGACGTGGGTGATATATTTTTACTTGGTATAATTTTTCTATGTTGGAGCGTGTTTGTATTCGGTGTCCGACCTACAATGTCGTTTTATGTGTCAAAATATCAGCTCTCCTTTGAAAATGGGAGCATAGATGTAATTCTACAACAACAATTTTCTAATACAGCACAGAAACAATAGAACCTAGCACTTTTCTTCAATATCATCCTATATAACTGATTACAAGCTTAAATATGAAGAAATCTTCATGCATTTTCTAATGTGCTATGTGCATTTTCAAAGGCTTTCTATGTTGGCAAGAGAAAAAGCAAGTCTGCAATAAACCAAGTGACAGAATTTCACTATCTATATACTAAAACAGAGTCTTTCTTACACCAACACTACAACACCAATTTTCAAAATGACATTTTAGCATAATATCAAAACTAATTAATAACATAATACAAAATTAAATGCAGAGCTGAAAATGGAGAGTAATAGTATTGAACAAAATATCAAACACTTTATCATAATATTGAACAAAAAAAATCTCTAAGAGGTATTTTATCAAACACTTAGAATGCATTTAAGTGAGATAAAAAGAGAACAATTTTTTTCTCATATTCATATCAGTTGTAGAGGAATGACAAAGACAACCATTAAAAAACAAAATAATGAGATTACCTTGTAGTTCTGTAGACGGAATGATGGAGGAGGGTGACGGTCGGCGGCTGTCGGACGGAGGAGGGCGATGGTCGTGGTTTAGGTTGACGGAGGAGGGCAACGTTCGCCAGAGGATAAAGAATGAAAGAAATACACGTACAGTCGTTCTATTTCTTTCAAAAATTCTGGTGGGTATTTTAAATTTATTCTAATTATGCCTATAGCAACGCTTTTTAATGGCATTTAGAAGCGCTTTTAAAAAGCGCTCTCTAAGGTGTGCCCTAGGCATGACATATAGCAGCGCTTTTTAAAAGCGCTTTGTTATATACCCCATATAACAGCGCTTATAGAGAAAGCACTCTCATATGTTACACCTACAGCAACGCTTTAAAAAAGCGCTTTCTTAGGGCCCCCCTTTAGCAGCGCTTTACAAAAGCGCTTTCTTAGGGCATACATTTAGCCGCGCTTTTAATAAAGCGCTTTCTTAGGGCCCCCCTTTAGCTGCGCTTTTCAAAAAGCGTTGTCTAAGGTGTTCTATTTTTTTTTTCTTTTTTTTAATGACTCTTTAGAAGCGCTTTTTCAAAAAGCGTTGTCTTTGTATGCGCTGCTAAAAGTCAATTCTGGCGTAGTGGTTTGAAAATGTTTGTTTGAAAGGAGATTGGGGACATGAGAATAGAATTATTTTTTTAAAGATTTTTGTGTTTGGAGAGACTTATTGCCTCATGCCTACGTACCCACAAAGTGCAATATAGGATCAAAACCCTGCAGTTCATGGTACAAATAACAAAAATTTATTGGTTATGATTTATTTTTAATGTAAAGACAAGTCGTCATTTTAAGGAGAAAACTACAACTAGTCGCCCACAAGTATAAGACAACATTTGCATCACCTAAAGATGGATGATTTTGCTTGGATTAAAATCAACAAGTCTATCGCTCAACATCTAAGTGGAAAATGTCAACATCTTAAATACTATGGGGAATAAAAGAATTATATCTCAACTATGGAAATGACTCATGTCTTAATTTTATGAAAATTTTTAAAAGAAAAAGTGCACAAAGACACAAAAGGTTTGAATGAGGTGAAGTGTTTTTTATATCTTTATTGAAATTGGTCAAAATATGATTAGCATTGATTGAAATTTATTAAAGAAAACAAAGTTTGAAAATCACTTGACAAAAGTCAAGATTTTATTATGAAAGTGGTTTTAAGTTTGAAAACAAGAAGGTTTTTGAAAAAGGGAGAAGATTTTGAAAATTTAAGAAGGAGAGGAGATGAAGTGACTACCTTAGAAAGAAAAATAAAAGATAGAGATAAGAAGGATCTGACCAAATTGTAGCACCAAGGGTCCAAGAGAAGTCCAAGAGGTCCAAGGTATAAGAATAGTCCAAGAGCATAACCACAAAGTTAAGAGCACCAAGTTTTTAAGAGGTTTAATCCTTTATTAGTGTTTTAAACAAGAATGGTCTAAATGGACAAAAGAAAAAGAGCGGAAACATAAACATGTGTCAAACGGACAAAAGAAAAATAACGGAAGCATAAACAATAATATAATATGAGATGATAATAATGGAGTATAAAAATAAAAGAGAGATGGGGAGCGAGAAAGAAACATAAACAAAATTAGCACAATAATATTGTTAGTGAGTTAGTGATTAGTTGTTAGAACAAATGATCGGCGATGGTTAACTCATGAAACTGATCCTATAATGATGATCTGAGTTACATTTATTAGTGATATTTTTTCTCTTTCCTTCTTTTCCTTTTAATCTTTTTTATGTGACAAAAGGGGGAGATATAATAGTAAGTATTTAAGTAAAAACTAAACTCATTGAATGCATGTCCTGTATATATTGATAATTTATTTTCTTATCATTTATTTTTTGTTTTTATGGTTACCTTGCCTAGAGCATATTTTAACTCTCTTGCACATAATTTTAAGGAAGAGCTTACAAACCTCAGACTTAGCCTATCAGACCCAGGAGCTTAAAAACCTCATATTCTGGTGTTGTCAAGGAAAGTTAAAAAGGACAACATATTTTAACTCTCTTGTACATAGTGTTAAGAAAGAGCTTACAAACCGCTGACTTAGCCTATGAGACTCAGAAGGAGCTTACAAACCTTGTATTCTTGTGTTGTCAAAAGAAGTTAAAATGTTTTTATTTTGGTGTTCTTAAATATGGAACTAAAAGAGAGCTTACAAACCTCAATCTTAAAACTGTTTGACTCAGGGGGAGCTTGCAAACCTCAGACCCTGATGTTATTAAGAAAACTAATTTATTTTTCTTGAAAAATAGTTCTTAATGTTAGACTAAATTAAACTAAACTGTGAACTATCACACTCAGGGGGAGCTTATAAATCTCATATCCTGTTGTTCCAGAGAAAATTAAATGGCCAACATTGTCCTTTAAATACTTGTGTTTGTCATCATCAAAAAGAGGGAGATTATTACAACAAGATTTGTTCTTGAGATATTATGTTTTAGTTTTGATGATAACAAAAGTATTAAAAGTACAATGGTTTATTTGATGTGCGTTTTATTTATGTAGATTCTTGTTCTTATATATAAATAGTCGAAATCTATTTTACTTAGACACACTTGGAGTTGATTCATTGCTAGTTTCTGGTGGCAGAGTCTGAAGAATAATTGCTAGTGTGGTTTGACGCAGACTCTAAACTGAAGGCCTCAGTATTCAGACAGGTTTCTACACTTAGTAATTGTATATCAACATCTGGTACCATTCAGAATTGGTGATAAAGCTGTGGATTATTCGTACTATTGAAAATGAGTTGTATTGTCTTATCATCCCATCAGCTTGAGTCTACAATATTGCAAGACTCAAGAAAAACTGATACGTTCTATGAGAGAACGGGAAAAAGTGGGAAATATTGTATTATTCTTTTTAAATATTGTTTACATTAGAACATGAATCTTATTTATAGAACATTTATATACAAACATATTAGTAAATACCAATAATAACATATAATTTATAGGAGTCAAGGAATACATAAAGAGGAGAAAAATAGAAATTCACATCTATATTAAATATTATTCATAACAAATTATTCAATATTTATGTATCTGATTTTTAATACAACTAAATCTCCAAAGGTAAATAGAGATGACACCTACGTTATTTAAAAACAAATGTTGAGAAAAGAAATGTATGAGACAACGGACTCAATAATTGAGCTAACTATTTAATCAACATAACATAAAATTTAACTAATACTTTCTTGATAATTTGTGTATTGAGCAAGCACAATTTTTAGAACCAACATCGTTTGCAATGCACGGAGGCTGAACTGGTCCACCTTTATACCAAACATATCGTTTTTGGACAAATTCACGAATAAAGGTGTCAAGCATTTCAGTAGTAACATGCTTCAACACTACCACATGTGCAATATTTTTATTGCTTGCCAAATTCCATCGACCAGTAAAGTTATCATCTAAAGGTCTCTCAAAAACAACTATGTTGCTATACTCATTTAACATTGCACCAATTCCAGCACCACGTAGTTGATTTAGCAAGTAACGTTCTTTAAATATACATTTATGCACTTCATTCTCAAGTCCTGTTAAACCCCTTTTTTTGGAGAGCATACCAAAGGAAGATTGGGGCATGTCCAAAACGACTACCTGTGATTGTGGCATCTCTTGAAGCAATGATATCAACATCTCTTGAAAGTGCATTGATGTATTTCAAACGAGTTATCAAAACACCACAAGGTGAAGGACATCCTAAAAACTTATGGCCTGAAATAGTTATGCTGCCAATAAGTTTCTTGAAGCTAATTCTTAGAGCCTAGCAAATCACAAAAACAATATTTAAGAAAAATATCTAGCTTGCTCTGCTCTAATGATCTGTTATGTATATACCTTTTTCAAGAATTCAAACCTAGCATGAGCCCCTTAGGTTTTTTTCAAACTCCCTCATGGAAACCTCTGGATCAACTTCAAGATAGTCTACCATCATCTCGAGTGTCTCGTCTTTGCTAATTTTCCGATGATCTAGAAGTTTCTCCTTGATCGGAAGATGCATCAACCAAGCGGTAGATGAAATGACAAGGTCTTATTGTGAAATCTCTCCACGAACGCATTAAGCATCCCATGGTTAACCGTAATATAACCGGTCATGCACAAGTCCTTCATCTCAGTTAGGCACAAAGCATTCTGAAACCACTCCTCATTCAGCTGAGGCAAGCCAATAATCTTCTGCCCACGGTTAATAATCTTCGGCGGATCACAGTCTTGAAGAAAAATAAATCTATGTCAGAAACTTGTAATGTAATAATAAACGTAAATTAAAAAACTCAATCCAACTAATTTTACCTCTCTGTCCTAGATATGTCTGGCAGTATGGTCTGGATATAGAGGCAAAAGTGACAAGTCTACAGGGTCTCCTTCAAATGTTTGAGGTGGCTTATCATCCTCAGCAGCCTCACCAGTTGGAGGTGGCATTAGCTCAGCAGCCTCATCAATCAGAGGTGGCACTGGCTAAGAAGCATCATCAGTCGTAGGTGGCACAAGAGCCTTAGGTACCACCGTTGACTCGGGTACCTCTAGCGCTTGAATAAGTGAAACATGTCGGCTGCGAGAGTGATGCGTCAGTAGGTGAAACCTGTCTCCTACGGTAAGAATAAGATGGAAAAGCACGAGTCTTAGAAGTAGATGCCTTAGCATGGCTATAGTGAACAAGAGCCTCTGAAACCCAACTCTTCTCCCTCCGCATCAATGCATGCTGTGCATTTCTCCCGTGTCTCAGTCTATCGTCTCTATAAGCCATAATGCGTGTAAGTAAACAAGAATATAGTACAAATAACACTATAAGCAAGAAAAAAATAGTGATAATTTTCGAAGATGCATCTTCGGTTACTGGAAAACTAGTTTTATAGTATGTATAAACTACCATTCATACAATTTCTACTCATTTCTTACCTAAATTATTATTTTATTCTCATTTACATAAAAATTGAAAAAGTTGATCAAAATATCAAAACTTACAAACTTAGACTTTACTTCAGTATTGAATGATGTCTCTAATGTATTTGATGTTGATTGAATAACCTTTGAGCTTGATTGTTTGATTTTGGGCTTGATTGATGGAAATTATTTTGAGAGAGTTTGAGAAAGTTGAGTTTTTTTAGAAATGAGGAAGGAGAAGGGTTCTGACGCAACTTAAGTTCCAATACTTTTCAGAAATGCATCTCTGAAATATATTAGAAGATGTATCTTTGATATATTTTAACGTTAAGTCAAAATTCGATAAACTTAGAGTACATCTGAAAATATATCTCTGAAAACTAAAAGCATTTTAGTATTTTCACGTGTTAGTTTAATAATATATACAATGCATTAGGAAATTTCCTACCGAAAAATCTGATGTATTCCCTATTGCTAAGTTTGAATAGGCTAAACACAAATATACAATTCTCTTCTATCAAGTTTATGAGATTAAGAAGTTATTAAATTAAAAATGTTATAAATAATATTAATTAAAAAATATAGAAAAATCATATTGAAAATTAAAAATTCACACATTTTGAAATGTTTTATTAGATAGCTCATTCAATTTAAAAGTGGAGGGTATGCATTAATAGTAACTGCACAGTATCAAAATAAAAAATTTATACATTTTAAAATGTTTTACATCATTCATTCAATTTAAAAGAGGAGAATAAGCCTTTTTCGTTACAGTTTAAATTTTATTTTAATTTTCTTCTTTCTTTCATGTATGTAATATGAATTTTTAAATTAATTTATATATGTTATATTATATTTTTTCAATGTTTTTTAAATTTTTTTCGTGTGATCTCAACTTAAAACACAAATTGAGGTATTTTTTACTATTTTTACTATTTTTGTGTGATCTCAATTTAAAACACAAATTGAGAGATTTATCAAAGCGTTTGGAATGATATTACCACACTAACGACCTTGTCGCGCCTTTTTGTTATTAGTATGGTTCAATGTGATCTTGATTTGTTTAGCTTAGAAGATCTTTTATGGTTGCTGTGATTTTTTACGGGAAGTTGTTGGTAAGTGAATTAGTTTGTGACGGTCAATTCATTAACCATTACTTAAATGAGTTAGGTCTTGCTCCCTCACTATTTTGTACACTCTTTTATTTTTATTTTTATTTATTATATGAGTTAGGTCTTGCTCCCTCACTATTTTGTGTGATTTTCTTTATTTATTATATGAGTTAGGTCTTGTTCCCTCACTATTTTGTGTGATTTTTTACGGGAAGTTCTATTTTGTGTGATTTTATTTATTTATTATATGAGTTAGGTCATACTCCCTCACTATTTTGTGTGATTTTTTACTAGTTGGTACGTGAATTAGTTTGTGACGGTCAATTCGTTAACCATTACTTAAATGAGTTAGGTCTTGCTCCCTCACTATTTTGTGTATTTTTTACGGGAAGTTGTTGGTACGTGAATTAGTTTGTGACGGTCCATTCGTTAACCATTACTTAAATGAGTTAGGTCTTGCTCCCTCACTATTTTGTACACTCTTTTATTTTTATTTATTATATGAGTTAGGTCTTGCTCCCTCACTATTTTGTATACTCTTTTATTTTTATTTATCATATTAGTAGTTTATTTTAAAAAGTGGAATCAGATGGACGAATTCAGTTCATATAAATAGTCTTGCGGATACCCAAATCAACTCGAATGAATATTAAAATTTATTTTTATAAAGCGTTGGTTAGTGTTGTAGAGTATTAAGTTTTTATATTCATATAACTATCCGGTCTAGATATTTTCTCACTCCTTTATTCTCATCCTAATCATAACTCTTGCCAAGCATCATGCGCCACCCTTTGTCAAAATTGTCCACCACCATATCATAATTTCATCTCCTTTATGTAAGCCATATCACATTCATCTTCTCCATCAATCACAATGTATCATTTCCACTTTGTTTCCTATTCTTAATTATATATAGAGGCGATGTGGACCAAACTTTTTGTAAACACTCCAACCTCCCTAGATCACAAGATCTATTCCGCATTTCCAACAAGACAAGCCTTTGCTCAAACCTCCAGTACCACTACCAGCCTCAAGACTGAAGCATTTTCTGGTTTCCAATTGTTATAGGCTAGCCTCGAAATACAAGACGCAAATTAGTTGTTGAATAATATGTATAACATAGTTTGACAACAAAACTTGTATGCGATAGAAGAAAGACTGCTTCCTCTAAAAGAAAGCTTATAAAACGTATCTCTAAAGGGGAAGGCAGTGTATGAAGCCGTTTCCAGGAGAAACCAAACTATCATGCTCAAGCCGTCCATGTCGCGGAGAGACGGAGCTCCAAAATCTTTGAATCACCAGAAGAGCAAGAGACAAAAAAACTCCTCATCAAATTCCCGAGGGAGAGTGATGTAGTCATGTTCCTCTTAAGGAACAAATAGAGAAACCACCAATCAAGAATCCCTAAAAGCATCTTTTTTGTGAACCTTCCAAAATTGAAGGAGATTAATGAGAAGAGAGATCCCGACGAGCACGTACAACTTGTTTGAATTACTTCCATGCCGATGAAGTTGCAAAGTGTAATTTATTTGCACTAAATCTGACAGGAACTACCAGACTCTGGTTCAAAGCCCGGTCGAATGAGAGCATTGAGTCGTGGGCTAATTTCTACGAGAGCTTCACCGCTTATTTCACAGACTGGAAAAGACAACCAGTGACAATAATTGCCCTCAACGGGATACCACAAGGGAAGACAGATATATTATGATCGTACATCGACCGTTCATACAAGTATCTATGGGAGTAAGAGGAGTTGAAGAGGGATTCAAGTGCTGGATATTTGAGAACAACCTATAGGATAACTCCTACAAGTAGAAATTGGGGCGCAGTGAGGCCCGTATTGTGAAAGAGCCGCTCAACATAGCACATTCCTTCGTAAACCTTAAGGATAAAATTAACGCCCATTTCAACAACCTAGCCACGACAGACGCAAGTTGCATCTGATCCTTAAAAAATGAATCTAAGATGCGGAGAGGTGAATTCTATTGCAGAACCCTTGTACACTACGACAAGTACACCCACATGAACACTTCCGAACTAAGATATACTAGGAGTATGCTAACACGGATTTCTAGAAGACTAGAATTAGAAACCCTTTCCCTGTCATAAAATCTTCAAGAACTGGTAAGAAGAAATAATGCCGCTTTCATAAGAGCCACATAAACACCACCAATAAGTACATCCAAATGAAGGATGCCTTTTGCGGTGAGTCGGATTCCCCACGTTAATTGGTGAATTGCTTCATTCAATATTGAATATGAAAATAATGATTACAGAAGTTAAACGCATTATAAAATATCAAACTAACGACAGGATACAAAAATATTGAGAACTTACCAAAGAGGACATTCCTATCCCCCTTAGTATGAGCGTCCATCAACAAGAGGGTTTCAATAAGCCGTTTTAATAGTCTCTTTGAAGCTTCATCTAGGGGAGTGACACCCCCGACATGACCAAACTCTTTGACAAAAGAAACTTGATTATTTTTTAGATAAAGCTCCTCGTCGGACAGATCATCCTCCTTATAGACATAAGACCCATTCCTCATCAGAAAATGATCTTTGTTCTAGTATTTATGAAACATGATAACACATATGTGTTCCATTCCGGTGCCTATAGTACACATTGTTGCATGGGTCTCTTTGTGGAGAGGAACAA